AGCTAATAATTTATGTTTTCATACTTTGATGTTGTTCATAAATTATTATACTAAGTACCGAGTGCTTAATAATCTTAACACGTTATATCGTTATGTATTTGGTAAAACAAGGCAGTGTTTCCCCATTAAATAAATAAATAATAAATAATTTAATTTTACCAAAAATATCCTTCCTCAATCCTCAATCAGTAGAAAGTAAACAGCAATTTTGCTGCATCAGAATTTTGTTAATTAATTTAAAATTTTCGTTTTTAAAAACCACTTTATTTTAAATTAATACATTTCTTAAATATGGATTTTTAATCGTGACCGAACTAACCTTTGTCTGACTATCTTTAAGCTGAATTCTCGTTTGTGCTGTGGCTTCTTTTATATGCTAGTCATGCTGATCATAGCAGAAACGATATTGCGACCCGCGTAAGTGGCCATACAATTTCAGGAATTATTATGTACATTTTCTGGTCAATGTGAAGATTAAACATATGTGACACTCACATTGACTAACACGTACGGCAATTTGCAAAGTGCTTCAACTACCGTAGTCAATGCGCAGATTGCCTAAAGAAGTAGCGATTCTGCAAATGGCCTTGCGAATTGGTCAGTTTTCAGAATTCTAGGCATTGTGCACATTGACAGATCTCGTACATTGCCGCAAACATACAGGGTTAATCAAAATTGGCATCATTCCTTTCAAGAGGAAATAGGGGCTGGAGAAAATGAAAAAAATATAGAAAATTTTTAATTCTATAATTTCTAGAAGACATTTTTTGAAACTAATATAGAAAAATGAAATTTCAACTTGGTTATTAAGCATTATTTTGAGATTGTCCCATGCTTAATTGCTAGCATACAGGGTGACTCAAAATTTAGCGTCATTCCTCTGGAGGTGTTGTCTGGCGCTGTTATAGGAGTACAGAAAAAATTGTAAAAGAAATTAATTGTTATTAAAAACTTGGAAATTTACAAAAGTCAATATCAGAAATACGGCAGCAATGTTATTAAAAGTAATCTGCCTAATTAACATTGCGCAAATACCTGTGACAATAAGATAGAGACGGATAAACGGTAAATTCAACAAAATTTGTTGACTGTGGACCGTACTTTCGAAACGTCAACCTGTTCTAATAACCTCGCATATTGGTGTAACCATTCAACACCAAACATTTGAATGGTTAACTCCAAACAAGCTAGTGTATGTGTAATATGCTTATTATCCACTCTTATGAATCTCGTATGCAGTTAATTAACTCCTGCTCCATTTGTATCTCCTTGTGCTCTGTGTATCGTACAAACGTGGGAGGAATGGAGCCCGGGAAAGTGTCAGTTATTGTGCTCTGAGTACCCCTGGAATGCCCTGATTTGATTGTGTTCAATATTTGTTCCTCTGGGTCTGGAACCCGAAAAGCGATTGTCGTTCACTATCTTCCTGGAACCACTCTCCTCGCCCTTTCTTGGCGGTGAGTTCTTTCAGCTTCTGCTATGTCACTGTAGCATTTCCTCTGAAGCAATCGCACATCCGCACATCCGTGAAAGGAAATTCAAAGTAAGTCACAGTTTGACAAATTATTGTTATTATTGACAAGGGCTATCCACCAGTAAATGTCTGTTAATGACAAAAGACATCATTGCCGCTGTGACGTTTCATAAAAAAATTGTATAAAATATTTTTTTTTATATCAAAAATGTTCGTAATTTGAAGTAAAGATCGTAGTTTTTCTTTTTGAAGGCTTAAAGTTTCCAATATGCTTCCAAATAAACATGGAACAATTTCTTAAAAATGCCCAATAACAAAGTTGAAATTCGATCTTCAACTGTTATATCTTCTAGACATTTTGGAAAAAAAAACATTTTCTATATTTTCTCGTACTCCCCAAGTGAGCCTCTATCACCCCTTAAAAGGAAAGACGTCAATTTTGAATCACCCTGTATTGGAATATTTAAGCATCCAAAAAGAAAAATTACGATTTTCGCTTTAAATTACGAAAATTTTTGGTATTAAAACAGTTTTTTAAAACAGTTTTCTTCTACAATTTTTTGATGAAAAGTCAAAGCGGCAATGATGCTTTCTGTAATTAACAGGTAGTTACAGATAGAAAGCCTTTGTCAATAAAAACAATAATTTGTCAAACTTACTTTGAAGTTCCATTCCCAAATTTGCGGATTTACGATTATATCTGGGGAAATGCCACAGTACCCTAGCAGAAGCTGTAAGCACTCACGGTATCAAAGGACTATAGACACTGGAAACGGGCACCAGATAGTGGACGACAATAGATGTTCGACTTCCAGACACAGAGGAACAACTACACTAGGTTTCAAAAGTCTTGCACCCCCTGGTTATTTTGACATTTAAAATTTTGTAAAACCTTGCAGACCCCGGGGTTAAATCTAGATTAAAAACTTCTAAAAAACGGCAAAATTAATTTAACTTCAACGAATTATCAGTTTAAAAAAAATTACAGTCCACATTCAAAAATTTTAAAAATAAAAAATACCTACAATTTCTAACGAACAACTGAAAATAAAAAATAATTAAAACATAATTAAAATTCAATATTTGAGCTTTTACTTCTTAACATCGCATTGACACATCTATCCATTCCAATAATGAAATAATTGGTTACTTCCTGAAGGATATTTTTCCTTTCTTCCATAAAAGCAATAATAAGTCCTCGGGCGTCGATTGAAAATGGCTCTTGATACATAATCCCGAACATGTTCGATAGGATTCGTGTCAAGTGAGATAGCCGGCCAATCTAATCTTGTGAGGTTTCGGTATTCTAATACTACTTGAACAGCTCTGGTGCGATGTGGCCTGGCATTGCCATCCATAAAGGTAACCTGGTCCCCTAGTTCATCACGTAGGCGTATAATTATAAGAGTAATTGCGTTTGCAAGGTAATGTGCCCCTGGTATCACCCGCGATATGTGAATAAGTGGGGTTCTTCTATTGAGCAAAATACCCTACCAAAACATTTGTATTTCACCGCTATATGGAGCAACTGCAACCGCTCTATGAAACATATTTCAGCGTCTTGCTTCTCTCCAAACTATTAAACTCGGTAATCGCAGCTCACCAATCCAAACGGCTAGTCATCGGTAAAGAGTACATTTCTCCACTCTTTAGTTGGCGATGAAGTAACAAAGTAACTCTTAAAGGCCTTCTGGACCGCAATCCTGATTTTATAAGTCATCTTAGGATTGTAGCACTGGATATCACACGGCCATATGTTAAGGTTCACGTCACTGAAACTGAGAAATTAGTGCCTGAGCGCTCTCTAAGGTTAATTAGGTAACTCCCTGAGCGCTCCTTACGGGCTGATCGGAACGTGTAATTGTCTTTCTCACTGTGCTTCTAAGAGAGTTCAGCCTAGTGGAAATATTGTGCCTCGATTCTTCCCACAAAGCAATCATTTGAGTCCTATCAAAATCTGACAACTCGTTTCTCGGCATGCTACACGATTCTTGCACGATTCAGATACTAGTGCCAATTACAAGTAACCAATATAAAAGTACAATTTTTACAGCAAGACAGTTTCAAAGAACCACACTTTTTTTAATTCCATAATTTCTTTCACTTGTAAACAAGTGTTGTTTTCACCAATAAAACAATTTTGTATATATAAAAATATGTAGTAATTACAGGGGGGCTGCAAGACTTTTAAAAGTGAGTGTATTTGACATAATTGCAGCAGATGTTTCCAGAGGCACTCAGAGTATTGCACAACTGACTTTCCTAGGCACCAAATAAATATCCGAGGAAACGCTACATTCCTACCGCTTATGTTGGATACAACACAAGGACACCTTCAAGCAATAGCTTACTAAACATCGGTACTAATTGAGCAGAAGTTAGCCGACTTCGAGGAGCAGCTAGAGAGGAGTGGATGCTAACGCAATCACACATGCATTAACTTGTTTGGAGTTAGAGACTCAAATGAAGGTTGATTTGTCAACATTTCAGTTCGAGGTCATAAGGACAATCATTGACATTTTGGAAAAGTTGGTTGCGATATTCAACGAATCCTGTTCCATTTACCGTTTATCCTTGTCTGATTTGTTGTCACTTTCTGTATAATTCCATGGTTACCGGAGTTTTTAATAATCCCGAAACAACAGGTATTTAAGTAATGTTAATTAGGCTTACAGATTACCTTCAAAAATATTATTGCCGTCTTTCTGATATAGTTTTTTGGCAATTTCTCAGTTTTTAATAACCATTAATTTTTATCACTCTTCTTTCTGTTCTCCTAAAAGACTGCATACCAGTAACACCTCCAGAGGATCGACGTAAATTTTGAATCACACTGTATTTAGCTCATCCTCAGAAAAGGGTAGTCTTCAGTCAAAAAGTGTCAGCCAAGAAAATGGTCAGCACTTTGGGAGGTTTTAAAGTGAAGCTCTAAATAGGTTAGTTTATTTAATTGTAAATCACACGAAATGACCTATTTCGTTCCCAAGGGCTAGGCATTGGCATTTAGAATATGAAAATGTAAACCGAGTTCAAAAATGTTTTTCTTTTGCGTGAATGCGTGAATAAAATGTCAACCGGGAACCGATATTGTATTTGCAAGCTAACGCAAAATTACTAACTTTTATTTCTAAGTTAATTTCTGAAAACGATACAGTCTATTTAATAAGTTGAAGGTTTTTAGTAACAGTAAGTTTGCTTTATTTTCCACTTGTGAACTCAGGGCTTATTGCAGAGCTCTGAGCAGACAACTATTGATTAAACTTACATAAGAAAAATAGCACTTTTTTTAATTCTTTTTTTAAATTTTAAAATTATGCAATAGATATAAATAATTTATCTATTTAGATTATTTAAAACAATATTGACTGTTGGGTGTCATTAAATATAAAAGCTTTAGAGCTTGAACCCTTTATAACGCATTGAATAATTCGTGTAGAAAACGAAAGATTGTACTGAAGGTTTGCTCTTTTCAAGTACAATAAATATATGCTTTCTGTAGGTCAACCCAACTTGCAAGGTGACTTACCTTCCTCTGATTCTTCGAGTACACAAAGTCGTACACAAAACTAACACCAAGGACTGTAATTCCCGTCTCTTTACTAAGCATTGCACACACGGCTAAAACTAAACACACTAACATGTCCGACCACATCCTAATGAATGTCAACCAACAACACCACTTTGAAGGCAAAATATGCAAACTTTCGGCCGTATCTGGGCAGCTTATGTGGCTTTTCGTGTTCAGCTTTTCTTCCCTATACTGAACAGAAGCTTTGTGTTTGGGCCAGTTGCAACTTGTCACGCTTTTTTGAAGCGCAGTGGCTATTTTTTCATATTTTTTTTGGCTGCACTTCGTATATGAAATTATATGATTGCAGGACTGTGTGCAGCACGTTGAGTCTCTATGGTTTACGTGTGAGAAGTAGGCAAGTAGAGACAAGAAGAATATGTTGCATGCGAGAAGATCAGCTCTGCCTGAAATTCAAATAAATTTCTGTAAATTACGTTGCTTTTAAGCTTAACTAGATAGAGATAGAGGTATAAATTTGCAATTTACCTGTGAAAACATCTACAGTTGATGTCAATTTAATTTTAATTACATTTAATTGCACGGCTCGTAAAATATGACAGAGTTTCACAACATTTTATTTCATCTGGATGCAGTAAGAATTTAGTTTTTTTTGCTAGCTACATTACTGACAAAATATTTTCTTACCGACAACGCTAGCTACAGCTTCAGTATGGACAGGATGAACGGCAAAGAGAGCTCCAGTAATTAAAGAACCGATACGAGTCCTGTTCTTTGGCAATACGTTTTTGGCAACTCTTATGAGCAGGTATGTTGCGGAGCAATGTAGAGCCACATTGACCAAATGATAACCCCATGGGTCAAATGCGCCTAATAGGAAATTTAGGCGAAAAGTGAATACACTTAGTGGCCTATATGAACCATGTGATCCACTATCTGTAAGCGGTGTTCCCCAATAATCATTTTCAAAAAGCTGCAGCCATGGTGTTTTAGGTAGAATGTCTGGGTTGGTCAATATGGCACGACTGTAACAAAATGTAGGAATCAATATAGATCTAGACCTAAATGTTTAAACCATCAATCGAAAACACGTATTTAGGTGCTCAATTGCCTTTCGTACTAAAACAAAATATTTGACTCAGCACTCTTTAATTTACACTTATTGTGTATGTTGAAACGAAGTGAGTTTGTTGCAAACAGAATATATCACATGTTATGTTGTTATGACATTTGTTACAAGCTGCGCTTCGGACTTAAAGTAATCTCTTATTTGGTCTTGGGTTCAATAGTTGAAACGTAATTGATGTTGGATCAACATGGATGTTTGGAGTAGTTGTACATTGATGGCTAGTATAGCTCGCAGTTATGCAGTTGTATGTTTTCCGCTTTACAAGAATTAATTTATGTTTAAAAGATTACTTGGAAAATTTCGGACCCAAAGCGTCTAAGTTTCTAAAAAATAATATAACCAATTTTAATTCTCACATTTTCTAAGCACGATGTTGTGCTTGAACATAAATTAGGAAAGAAATAAATTCGTTTAATGGCTTAAACTCCGTTTCAGGCCTTCTGGTATCTATTTTTTGAACCCCTATAAAACCATCTTAACTAAGACATAAATTTACCAATCTTTAAATTTTCCTTTTCGAGTTTCTGAATTTCCAAAGGAATTAAATCAAAACAACTTTTATATTCAATTCTAAAACTCTAACAGCAAAAACGGCAAAGTTAAAGGTATATTTAAGCAGCTTGCAGACGGCAATGTTATTCCTATTTATAAATTAAATTAGGCAAATTAAACATCTTATATAATATAATATTTTTGTTTTGCTGCAAGTTCTTCTGCTTCTTTGTATATAACAAATAACTCGTAAATTTTCATAATATGCATACCTTTTCATATATCCGATGCTGTTGGGACTACCAGCAATGTTCATTATTTCGGTCTTGAAATTTCTAAATATTTTACACTGGTCTTCCCAAACGCGGTATAATGATTAGAAAAAATTTCAGAAAAGTCGCGATATTTTGTATTGATCAAGCATGACAGTCTAATTTAAAACCAAGCACAAACGAAACAAATTTATTGTATTAATCCAAAGTACCTTTTCCTATGTTCTTCCCGGGCAAAAAGTCGACGTTTTACCGTATGCCGGTTATTTCTGCTATTTGTCTGCAACCTAATTTAAATGGAAATGCGAGAACTGTAAATAAGATTTGTTAGGATCATTTTTTGCGGCAGGGAGATGAACATTTTAAGATGTCTCGCACGTTTAGGAACAACACAGAGTTTCCGATGCCATAAGAGCTTTACAAATTACAAGAAGGGTGAACTCAATTTATCAAGTAAATAATGAAAATTTAGCGAAGAGACGCTGTAAATCAAAGTGATTCGTCGAAGTAAGAAAAATAGTGGATTTTCTATTGTTTTATTATCAAATTGAAGAACTTCGGATACGTTTTGAAAAAGATTGCCTCCAAGTCATAACAACTCATTTTTCTCTTTAGTTTGCTAATGGAATATTTTCTACTATACTGGTTTATTACGTTTGATAACAGGATGATAACAGGTTGATAATGAAGACTAAATTCAAGCATTATCATAGTATATAAAGTCAAGATAAATTTATGAATATTTATTTCAATTTTGCCCCGAGGCATATAAAAGGGCCATTAACCCATTTCGATCTTCTTCTGGTCATAAGTACCGAATTTATATTTTTCTCTGGCTGTCAAATCTCAATTACCAGTCTCAGTACTGTTTGTTCTTTTGTTTGTATAGGGTGATCCAGACTTAACGCCCAAAGTCTAGTGTACCAGAACCAGAAACTTATAATTAAACTAGAAGCCTATGGTCTCAAATGTGATGCTGTAAGGTACACTTTCAGCAATAAGAAAAAAATTATTGTTTAGCAATGGCATAATGACGTCACCGGCAACTTTTCCCCAGAAATATACCGATATTTTTGCACACCTACACACATCTTTTTCTTTAAATAAATATTATCTGCCTATTTTGGCTTAAGAGTTATAAGCCTTCAAACAGGAAAAAATTACTCGTCCAAGAAACCACACGAACGGGATTTAAATTAGACCTTTATTTGAACCTTTCATGTACGAAGGATTCTTTGATAGCGCAGGGTATTTAAAATTTCCGCGTGAACAATTGTCACTTTTGCTCGAAATTTTTTTACTGCAGCTACGTGCTAACATGTGGTTCCAGCAGGACGGAGCTACCCCGCATAAGACACAATTTATGCGGGAATACTTAAACATGCATTTTGCAGATCGGTGGATGGGAAATAATGGACCAATGCAATAACCACCTAAGTCCCCAATACTGGCGACACCTTTAGATAATTATTTACGGAATACTCGAAATCATTGTTTTTATTCGAATGAAGAAAAAACTTTGATTTTTCGATCAGAAGTGATTATTATAAAGAAGCACATTTCTTTGCTGTTTATTTGTTTCACTTTTACACACGGACTTTCACGCACGTGTACACCACAGCAAATGTAACAGATTGAACTTGTCATTGTCATTTTATATTTTTATTTTTTTTTTTTTGGTTAAAAAGTATCCGACATGCATTTTTAATTAATTACATAAGTTTATCTACAACTATTCATCATAAAAAAATTCCGAACGTCAAAATTCCTGACGGATTGACACTCGAGACGAAGTCGAAGTCCACAAACGCCGTCGTGGTTCGAAATTATAGAACTCCTTCAACAAGCGTAGATCACCCAAAACCAAAAATTAAAGCAGCATGTGCAAACATTTTAAGAGGGGTGTTGGAAAAGTTACCTTACAGGAAGGCAGAAAAAGATTGAGAATATATATTAAAGTTGAAGGAGGTAAAAGAGAAAATCGATTTTAGAAACCATCAAGTTATATTTCAAATAATTTCTGAACTTGTTTTTGAAGTTTTTGCTTATAACTATGTAATCTATTAGTGCTCTGCCGATTTGGTATTATATATTTTATTATTGCTGCCTTTACACTAAGAATATCTGACACTCTTTTGGTTTTCAGCTGGCGTTGACCAGCCGAGTTAGAGGGAGAATTAATATACCTGGAAAGGGCCTTTGGTTGGAATGGATCGACTAAGAAAGATTTCAATAGAGCAATTCGACCAAAAAACAGTGAAGATCGCTCGGAGACAACAGAG